CTAAATGCAAAATTTGCAACAATATTTTTCATACCACTTAGGAGCGTTAGTATTTACACATATGTTTAATACCACAGCTTTCTTTCTGATTTTTGAAGAACTTAATGTCTGATTGGATTTCATTTCAAGGCATGGCCAACTTTCATTCAGATCCTTTAAGCAGTTCAGACTCTCCTATCATGAATTCTTGAGAATTTGATGAGAGGTACAACTCCAAGATGGTATATTGACTGGATGTAACTTTCTTGGCATGGAAGACCACTGATTTGCCTTTGAAAGAGCACAAATCTCTCTGAAAAGTTTTCCCGCAAAAGCTTCATATGATCGTTGGGCTTGATCCATGACAGCGCTGTAGTGGAATCAGACCAGTAATATTTTTCAGTTTTGTGTAAGGACAATGTTTCTAAAACATACCTCGCTAGATGTACTCATGAAGTGTAGGTTGAAAGCTCAAGACTTGGTACTGTCATCTTTTTCAGAGGTGCAACATGTGATTTCATAGCCAGAAAATTTACAAAGGTGTTTTCGCTGTCTTCACAATGCAAGAATATCGTAGTCCCATAAGCTGTTTGGCTTGAGTCACAAAAAACATGCAAAGTCCAAGTTGTTTGTTTTCATTTCCTATCTTGCGGCACATTTTGAAATCTGATAAAAATCTGTATTTCACTGTACTATTTTCAAAATTTTTGTTTGACCTCTTCTGATAGTGGGGAATCACAATCCGCTTTAGTAGCCCGAATTTCTTGAATCAATAGCTTAGACAGTAATAACACAGGAGCTAAAACCCCTAGAGAATCAAAAAATCCTCTGTGTTGGAGACAAAATCTCTATTTTTGACAGGTTGTCTAGATTTGGTACAGGCTTAAAATGAATAGAAAGGCTATCGTCTCTTCCGTCTCAGCCCAAGATTGAAATCTGATTTTTAGAAACAGATTCTGAATTACAATAGCTTGAAATATTACTAAAGTCATTTATAAGAGAGAATGTCTACATCCGAAGGCCCATCTTAACTTCTGCCAAATTGTCTATTGATTTATTCATAAAATTCTTCAATTATTTTCTGTGTCAAGAGACATGCCACAGATATCAACATAAAAATAATTTAAGCTTTTACATGATTTAGTTCGGCAGACACTCAAGACAGATGGAATTAAATGATAGTACCTAAAAGATATGGCCTAGATCTAACCCTGAAAACTACTCTTGTGTCATGATACACTGTTATGAGATTTTCATTCTTCCACTATAGGAACCTCAGAAAGAATGTGTATCTTATATCTGCCATAGCCGCTGTATGTTTCTCTCCTAACCGTAATAATAAGACAGCTATTTCCTAGACTAAATTTGGCCCCTTTACTAAAAAGTCATTAAAAGAAGGTGCTTGTTTAGATTTAGATAACGTGCCAAATACAGGCCGTACTCTGGTGGTAAGACTCTGGTTTAATGACAGAATTGTACGAAGAAAATGACCTATGGATGACCTATCGTGCTCAACAGCTTCCTTTATTATGCCTTCCAAAAGCCACTCTAAAGACCTTATCGTACTCTTCAAGCATGTTCAAAGATTTAAGGCTTTGTGTTTATCTGAAAAGTCTTTTTTTTTTTTTTTTCCCCTCCCAATAATTAAAAAAAAAAAAAAAAAAAAAAAAAAAAAAAAAAAAAAAAAAAAAAAACAAAAAACAAAAAAAAAAAAAAAAAAAAAAAAAAAAAAAAAAAAAAAAAAAAAAAAAAAAAAAAAAAAACAAAAAAAAAAAAAAAAAAATTGGGTTGGGGGTAAATCTAGGTTGTGTTGTAACCAGGATAGACCAACAGAGTCTCTTCCATCCTCGTTTTGAGCTGAGTAGCCTAAAAACTGTTCCTAAGCAATAGCTTCTTCCGTGTTCTTTGTAGAATTACTGCCGGAATCTGAAATTCCTATCTCTAAATTCCAAAGATTGGATATGTTTAAGTCCCGAATTTCCAGCTTTATACTCAAAGTAGATGCCTTTACTTAGTGGCTTGGATATTCCTTAAGTCAATCACAAACAGTCCATCCTAATATAGTGTCAATTGTAGTCAAACCCCCTATGTAGCTGTTTGACTCCCTGTAAGAACTGTACCATAAATATCACTGCCACTTATCATCTCTATCTTCAGGCAACCTAGTTCTGTATCTTAATAGCCATATCTTTTTATGCTTAAGTTCTTTTAAAATAGGACTCTTAGATACACATGCTATATATAGCTTCCTTATCCCAAAAACTCCATTTCAACCTATTGTCATATGACTTGAGGATACGAGGTCTCGTATAAGGGAGAGTATGAATTGATTCGATACTTTTATGTACATTCACTTAAATTTTAGACCCTCCAACAAGAGCATGAACTACAGTTTCCTCTATATTCAAAAATAGTCCTAATTCCTGATTCAAAATGTATGATTTTTATGAGCCACCATCAAAAAGTGCTTTACTTCTCTCATGCCTGATTTTCCTAACATAGTGACTTTAATTGTCATGAGAGCTACCTCTGTGAAACATATCCATCCCACCGTAGTTGCCTGAACAGTTTCTGGCACTGTTACCTTTTTCTGAGTTTCTCTTTCTGCAGATCTGACCAGAGACAAATTGTGTGAGCGTTACCACATTCATAGCAATGTATAAACTTACTGGACTTAGCAAAATGTCTGCACCTCTTAAGCTTAATTTTATTCTTATTTTGCTCTAATGACAGAGAGCATGCTTGTCAACTTACCATCATGTAGTTTATTGCAGAAAATGCAGTTATTCATCGTAAGGAAGCATGCTGCCATATGGACATTCGTTAACTGTTTCGATTTAAATTTGCCTTTTAAATCTCTTATTGATTTATTCCAGTACTTGTCTTTGTGCTCAAAACTTTGAAATCCCCCATGCTAACTTAAGTCTTTCCTCCCCTTCAACTTCACATCTTAAAAATTTCATTAAATTGGTTAGGCAAGAGATATCCTGACTTTCATTTGTCTCTCCTAAAAAGGCCAGCTTCTTTGCTGGGTTCTCTTTCCCAGAGATGCATTATTCCACCATAGGATTTAACCAACAAGTATTGCTTTCCATTTTAATGTCAATGGATTCGAGAGCTTTTAGCTGTGCTCCAGTCTTATCATATAATTTAGGCAATGGTAATTTTTCACTACTACCTGCCTTAATATTTGTTGCAATTAACTTTATAAGCTTTGTCACCTTAATTAATAAATCATGTTTCCCAAAATGTTCTTTAAGAGCACTGATTTCAAATAATTTTTCACAGACATTGGATAACTAACTGCCAATAAAGTCTATAGTGTGCATCCTTGGCTTCATGCTTTGCACAAGATACTGAAATTTGTCATTTTTGTTCAAGTCAAGGTTCTCATGTCTTTTTTCGAATTGAGACCAAAACGGAAGCCAGTTCAATAAGTCTTCATTGAACTTTTTAAGCTCAGTTTTCAGGAGCTTAAACAATCTAGTGTTACAAGGCAAATTACTAAAAACACTACCTTGTGACCTCGTTTCTAAATTTAGCTCTGCTGAGGCACTTAATTCTTACTAAGTGAGAAATGGTAATAAATTCGTCTTTATAAATATCCCAGCTTTCCATTTCTTCATTGACCTTTTTCAGGCTTTATATTACCCGGAATTATAGAATTCAAAATTTCCTTATTACATTCCTCAGTATCTTTCATTTGTAACTTTATCTTTAAATTATTCCTTCTGAAAAATCATCCATACGAGTTTTGTTTTTCAAAACATTAACAGTCTTTGTAAAAGAAGAATGGAATTCCCCGTATTTTGCTGTTAAAGGATCCACAATAAAACAAGCAATTATACCAGCTTTAATTCACAAAATACAATTAAAAATACTTCAATTAAATAAAATAATTTTAACAGTAACTTTACTGCTTTTTGTCATGGATGCCACACGGTTATTAATAAAAATTTTTTGTAATATTTGAAACAAAAGACAGAAGCATAATGTGTGCAGCAAATCTAATGATGTCATCAACCAAAAAAGTTATCCATAATGTATAAAGTAACATAGATTCATAAGGTCTTATAGACAGCTTCATCCATCTATTGATGGCTTTACATAACAATAATGTTTATCGTAAAAATATTATAATATATTTTAAATTTGTTTAGCAAATAATTGTAAATTGAAAGGGGCAAGTTTCATACATGTAAAGGTTAATTTAAGATTGTTTTGATGCTGAGGCCAGCACTTTATATTTTGTTGGGATAATATGGTAAAGATAATATGAAGGAATGTATCATGTTGTAATAAATATGAATTACTTCAAGACGTTAGTTATATTTGCAGTAAATTATGATTTATAAATCATTTTAGAGATAGAATAATATTAGGTTCCAATATAAGATTAAACATTAGTAATATACATTACTGTGTTTATATTATTTTTTAAGTTTTCTTAACTCTGAAATGTTGCAAGAAGATAATGAAAATGATATTTTTTTATTTATAAAAAATTTAAATGACATTATGATGTATTGATTTTGCTATGGTTCAGTAATGGCTTATTTGAATTGGAATGGAAAAAAGGCAATATATAATTTAAAATTAGGGATGAAGGGAAAACTTTATCACAGATTTTGAATAATACATTCATTTTCTCTTTGCTGTGCCTATGGATTTCACTATAGTTATATTTAAATATGGTTGTCTTGCACATTTGCAAGTATTTTTTCTTGCTGTAAACTGGGACCCATGGTCTGCTTCCCTTCAAAATTGATAGTTTTATGAAAAATCTATGTCAATTTAAGATTACTTTTTTACCTAATTTTAAAAAGGTGTTTTTTGTTTAAGCACAAGGACAGGAAAAAATAAAGAATATGTATACATTTGATATTTTGAAAATATTATAACTAAATGTGTTTCATGAGATATTGTATATTAGTATGTCTGTTTTGATTACTAATTGTCTATTTTGATTAAATTTGTATCATGTAGAAAAATATTTTTATGTCATTCTTATGTCTTTTTAGATCAAGCTTCAGAAAATAACGAAAAAAGTAATACATCTGAGAATGTTGCAGAATTATTGCCAAGTCCTTGCAGAGAACAAGATACTGTTGCTAAAGATGGTAGCAATCTCTTCAGTAAGGATAATTCTTCCTTGGAGAAGACATCAATAAAAAGAACACCAAATTACATAGAATGTTCAAATGAAAGTATGCAGTCTAATGACATGGAAGTTTCTAATAGAAATGATGCTGAAGAGTCAGTAACTGTAAATTCTTCTGATGCAGGAGCTTCTGAAGAAATTTCAGATAATGCAGATTTAAATGAAATTGACTTTCTTCTTGAAAAAGCTTACGATAATCAACAATCAAAACGCAAAACAAATTTCAAAAGGAAAATTGAATCATTGTTGAAAGCAACTGGGAAGAAAACTTGTAACATGCCTACTGAAAATACAGACAATAAATCCCATGAAATAGATTCAAGAGCTTCTGTGCATGTAATAGAAGAAGCAAATATTTCTCAGACAGTAAAAGAATCTTCTAGCGATGTTAAAAATGGTACTTCTGTGATAGCAAAATGTAGTATAGATAATGAAGAAATGTTGGTAAATAATACAAAAATAAAGAATGATTTGGAAACAGAAACACACTTTCCAAATGAATTAAATTTTGTGAATCTTCAAAGGTCAAACAGTGTAGCTGATGAGAGTAGTAAGAAAGTAACTGATAAGAATGAAGTTTCACAAGAGAATTTGAAAAAAGTAAATAGCCCTATTGTATCTTCCATTAGTAGTATGCTGTCTGATACTTCAACAGTTATTTCATCTAACACTTCTATTAATCCTGATGTAAGTAGTTATATGCCCGTGTCTACTATTCCTGATATACCTACTGAACTCTTGAAAAGTATACTTAATAAAAGTAAAGTAAACTTGCTGCAAGATTCAAAGAATGATAATTGCCATACTAACTCTATGACTACCTCTGCTGAGTCAGGGAGCATTTTGCCACAAAATTCATTGGAATCATCATCTTATTCTGTAAGTGAAGCAGAAAGTAGTTTTAGTCATACAAATGTAGAATGTACGTCTAGCATTGCCGATGATAAAAATAAAAGTTCTGCAAGCACATCATTTGAAGTCAAAGAATATTTAAATAAAAGAGAAATTCCTGCATCACTTCATAAACCAGATGAAATAATATCTGATGCAATTAAAGGCGACAGTTTGTCTCTTGCTGATGCTATCAAAAACTGTTCTTCAGCTGCACAGAAAACTGATCATGATGTGTATTATACCTCAGACAGAAATGCAGTAAATTTGGGGGAAACACTTGAAAATTCTGCAGTTTGTAATGATAATGTTCCAAAAAGTGACTATAAAGTTAGGCCAAAATTTTTGGGGAACCTCAAAAGTGCCTTAGAATGTATAACAAGAAACAAGTCTTTTACAAATAGTTCAGAATTTGAATCACAAAAGACCCTTTTACCAATTCCTTTTGAGCATACATTAAAATTATATAACTGTCTTTTACAATGCAATAATTTAAGTTATTCTATAAATACCAGTAATAATAATAAAACAGAAGATTCTTCAAGAGGAATATTACCTTTTAATAGTAGTATAAATATTAAAAATTCTGATAGATCAAATTTAATACAAACTTCTGCCAAAATAAAATCAGAAACAAATACAACTGATTGCAATTTGAATAGTGAAGTAATTAAGTCTTATATCTCTGCTTCTCCGCATCCTACAGTATTGAATAACTTTTATGAAAAAGAAGAAGCATGTACATCTAATTCTTATATGAAGGATGATAACTTGGAAATCATGGACATGGATGTTGATTCAGATGATGAAAATCCTTGAAGTTATACACTTATGAATGAATAAAATAAATGATAACAGTTTTAAAATAACGTAGGTAATTTTGTTGAAAACTGTCTTCCATTGAAAGTTTTCCTGCAACTAGAATTTGATATATTAAAAATATTATATGTAATATGATGTATAACTTAACCAAATATTATTTAAATTTTATTTTTATAAGAATGTTTGGTACTTCCTTCTTCAAGTGGCAACCATGGGTGCTTTGGCAAATTTGGTGACATTTAAAATTAATTTGCCACTTTGCAAATTTTCAAAAAATGAAAAATAGTTGTTGTGTAATGTAATATGTACAAGTATATTGTTTAATGTATATGTAGTGTCAAGGCTTTAGATAATGGTGAATTTATGCAATTCTGTAATTTTTTTAAAGCAAAAACAGACTGTTGTGTTCATGGGAAAAACAAAGTACCATTTGTTTCTTGTCATGCATAATTTTCCCATATAAATATTTATTAGGAAACATTAGCAACATTTCAGAAGAAAACAATTTAAAATACAAATCTGAATTACTAAATAATGATTATATGATACATTAAGCACTATATGTACTGTATTATATTAATTATTGTTGTTCTTCCCGTTTACAGTGATTCCTTTTTGCTCTTCCCCCCCCAAAAAAAAACCACCAAGAATTGCACAAATTTGGCACTGTGCACAACTTCATCATTTCACACATTAAACAGTGTATATGTTCATGATACATTCCTATTATTACAAGTTTACTGTTACTGATTTTACTGGTATTACAAATTTGCCAAGTCTGACGACTAATCTTCTGATATTGGTGATTGACCAATGTGGCCATTTAATAAGGAAATACTGAATCTTTTAATGCAATAGTCAAATTCACAAGTAGTTCTTAGGTGCTATATAAGTAGTCATCTAATACAATTAATATATCTTCAACTATTTATATTACTGAAAATCTTTCCTGTGAAAATTCTGTGTATATATATATTAAATTTTAACATTTCCCATTAGAAATAAATATAGACACAGTTATAATCTGCAAAAATTAATTTATGAAAACATTGGCAATTGTTTCTTTCTGAACATATATATGTATATATGCAAATTTTTTGTTTGTAATATGAAAATTTGACTATTTTTACAAAAGACCGTACAAAATAATATATGTATATAAATTACTTCAAAAGAATATAGTAAAGTTAAATTAAATTTAAATAATTCTCTTGCGCCATTGCTGCAAGGAATGAAATTTGAATTTTACAAACATTCTTTATTCGTAAAAAGCAAATTTAAAGTTAATTAAATTTTAAATGAAATTGAATTACAAATAAAAGATTAATTATTGCTGCGAACTAATGTACAATACAGTACAAAGTACATAATACAGCTCGTCGGGACTTCGGTGATTCCGGATTAGGATTTTTTCCAGATTATAGATCATCAATTTAAATCTGGTAAGATGGCATGCAGAATAATTAAAAATATTAAATACAATTTAAAATATTAAACTGTAATTTATGAAATAAAGAGCAATTATGATCTAAAGGGTATCAAAATTTACAAAAAAAAGCTTAATATTTATTTGTTTACTTTATTAAACATTTCTTTCAATGTAAGTTGTTTGCTTCATTTTTTGTGCTAAACGCGCATGCGTAAACATTAAACGCGCATGTGTAAACTCATTACGTGCATGAAGAGAAATTATAATCTAAAGGATACCAAATTTACAAAAAAAAAAAAAAAACTTAATATTTATTTGTTTATTTAATGAAATATTTCCTTCGATGTAAGTTTTTTGCTTCGTTTTTTTGTGCTAAATGCGCATGCGTAAACGCATTACATGCATGAAGAGAAATTATGATCTAAAGGGTATCAAAATTTACAAAAAAGAAAAAAGCTTAATATTTATTTGTTTATTTTATTAAACATTTCTTTCAATGCAAGTTGTTTTGTTTTGTGCTAAGCGCGCATGCATAAAGCTTACAAAAAAAAAGTTTGTGGCTTAGAGGTCTGAATTATAGATCATTCCGAATAATGGACGTATGGATTACGGACTTTCTATTGTATCATTTAAATCCTGAGAGCATATGCAAATCAAGTGCAAGTATCAAAATCTATGAGTATATAATAAATGTATAATATATAATTCCAATAAATTTTTTAATACTAAAAATTTATAAAAATGCATAAGTGAATAATTGTTGAGCAGGCAGGAGACAGACTTATCAAGGGGAAGTTGCCTCCAAACCTAACTCTTCAATTATTCAATTTGTGTTTTGTCATCCATGTTGGTAAGGGTAAAAGGAAAATTCAAGAACGGTTTCAAAATTACTTTGGTTTTCTAAAAAATGTGGTTTTCTACTCTTAATTGACTTTAATTATTCTAGTCTTTACTTGCTAATTTCTCTAAATTCCAAATTTTTTAAATTTCTTTGTAGTAATTCACAACATTTAGTTTTAAATATTTCTTTTACCCTTGCTTTTAGGATGACGAAACATGAATTGAATAATTGAAGAGTTAGGTTTGGAGGCAACTTCCCCTTGATAAGTGTCTCCCGCCTTCTCAAATATTATTCAATTATGCATTTTTATAAATTTTTAGGATTAAAAAATTTATTGGAATTATATATTATACATTTATTATATATTCATAGATTTTGATACTTGCATTTGATTTACATCTGCTCTTAGAATTTAAATGATATTGTAGATTAGTTCGCAGCAATAATTAATCTTTTATTTGTAATTCAATTTCATTTAAAATTTAATTAACTATAAATTTGCTTTTTACGAATAGAGAATGTTTGTTAAATTCAAATTGTATATAAATTATATTGTTAATGTATGTATATAGTTGAGTGTAGACATTTTGCAAGCTATATATGCTAAAATATACTGTATAATATATGAAGTTCATAAATAAATGTTTTAAGCATTGTGTTTAATATTTAATTTAAGTGAAATTATTTTATTTTTTAAATTTAATAGAAGTACTATTGTATCTGCAACCAGATTCTGGACTCGGACATAAGTAACTTTCAATACTATAAACTTGCAAGCTATAAATTACAGTGTACTCTCAATTATCCAATTGTAAATTATCTGTGTGTAATGGTGCCCATGAGCGGTTTCATTTTCTCATAACTTTTGCTGAGAAAGGTGATGATTTATGAAGTTCTGGAAAAGTTGACTGTATTGGATGATACAGTCAACATTTTCCAAATGATATACAGAGTAACGAAAGCTTTAATTTTAAAAAAATTATTTTTAAAATTTAATTTTTAAAAAAATTAAAAACAAATTAAAAAAATTTTACTGTTTGCACCATCAGATAGAGTAGACAAAAATATTTTAAATGAAATTAATGTCATATTTTTATTGTACAGTAAAAGCTCACTTATCTGGCTTTCAACAAGCTAGAAACCTCGTGCAACTGGAGTATTTTAGAATTTTAAACCCTCTTCGAAAATAAGCAAATAAGAGGCTTGTAAAGCCGTGTTAAAGCACTGTTGGCTAATGGTGTGATTTAGTAAAACCAATAACACTAGTTTGAGCATGAAGAAAGATTCTTCCTAATATAGAAATTGAGAATTCAGCTAATTGTGAAGAAGGTAGCCAAAAAAATAAAAATGTAAAATTCCTCAAAAATGTCAATCAAGAAAGTTTTGAAGAATGGTTTGATAGCAATTCAGCTGAGCCAGGCTTTCAATGCTTGGGTGTGTGGATATCATTTCAAATGTCAAAAGAACACAAGAGGCAGAAAGTGATGCTGAAAATACTAGTAAAGAAGATACTGACAGTTATATTAGTCCCTAGACAGCGATGACTTCTGTTGAAACTGTAGTCGACATTGTTGACCAGTGGGTATTCAAATGCAATGATAAAATAGTAATTAAAAAAATATGCAGTGAAATTTTAAAAATATTTAAGTGTTCTCAAAGTAAAATTAATGATTTTTTTAAAGAAGTAAACACTTTCAATATGCATATTTGATAGTTTAAATTATTCATGTTTTTCAGCTATTTGTGATCTCCCTCCTTGGCATTAGTCCAGATAATTGAGAATATACTGTATATGTAAGTTATGTATGGATGCATTCATTGTTTAAGAAGGAAGTCAGATCATATAAGACATTTAGAAAAAAAAATTATTCTGAAAAATGCAGCAATGCGAACATATTTAAATAGTGTGTCCTTTTTTTAATAAGCTTATTAATATTTAACACCATCATGGTTTCTGTTGTGGTCAAAAGTTTGTCTTCAATTTTTGAACTATTTCCTAATAAGATATAAAACTCAAATTTTGAACACACACTGTTTGTAGATGACAATACAATGCAGTGATGAAATTATCTAAAAACCTTACGTTGGAATAATGTTTTGCACATATCTTTGATTAGTAAACTAAAAAAAAAAAAAAAAAAAAAAAAACTTTACAAAATTGCAAATTAAAATTAAAAAAATTAAAAACAAATTAAAAAAATTTTACTGTTTGCACCATCAGATAGAGTAGACAAAAATATTTTAAATGAAATTAATGTCATATTTTTATTGTACAGTAAAAGCTCACTTATCTGGCTTTCAACAAGCTAGAAACCTCGTGCAACTGGAGTATTTTAGAATTTTAAACCCTCTTCGAAAGTAAGCAAATAAGAGGCTTGTAAAGCCGTGTTAAAGCACTGTTGGCTAATGGTGTGATTTAGAATCAGTAATAAACAAGCATGACTTCACAGCACAAAATCATAAGATGTTTATCATGGTTTTATTGGTTATTTGAAAGCATATGGTTGTAAACAACAAAAGCATTTCTAAGGAAAGTGTGTCCCCTTATTGGTTTTCATCATTGAAAGAGGATAGAGGTAGGTCATCTGTATGACAAAGCTGGTACATCCTGTCATTTTTAAAAAACTCCTCCTCACCTCCATAGAAATTTTGGAATTGGACACGGGCTTACTGTGTTTCTTTTTTATTGGCCATGCCTCCCACTTAAGATATTACCTAGAAAGTTTATATTGAGAGACTTAAAATGTCATATAATGTTGATTTAGAACAAAAAACATTTTAAACTTTTTTTTTATCAAGAACATAGCTTGAATTTGTGTAAAATTAACTCAGTGAATCAGTGTTAATGGATAAAAGAGGC